GGGTCTTGTCTGTCACCAGGGCTTGAGTTGTGAGTAGGGGCTCAATAAGAATTAGTTCAAGTTGGCATGGGACAGCCCTCCCATCCTATCTCCTTGGGGGACTGAGGCAGGAGACTTCTCTGACTTGCATAATAAGTTCAAGGCCAGCCTAGACAATTTAGTGAGATTACATCTCAAGCTAAAAAGTAAAAGGGGGGCTGAGATGCAGTGCCCCAAGACAGTGCTTACCTACTCCACCTGAAGCTCCACCCACCCCTCCATATTGGCTGAAGAATGATTGGACTACCATTCATGGAAGCTTGGGGGGGGCACATCAACCCAGAAGGAGACAGTTTTCATTGTTGTGAGTGCTAAGTCATTCTTGTTTGGAATGATGCAAACTTGAAGCCTAGATCTCACTGTTTGAGGGAGAATAATAGGGAAATCTGGCAGGTGCCAGGCAGGCTCAGTCCATCAGGGTGTCAGGTCATAGACCTTCTCACCATGTGACAGCAGGGAAGCATGAACTGGAGAAGTGGCCTTCCAGGCAAAGGGGGTGGAATATGATGACAAGAATAATTTATAGTTCTAATTTGCCGTGACCATCGTGGTGTCCCCATGCAGATCTGGGAATCTGTCGAGACTACCTAAAAACATAGGATCAGTCTGTGACTTTAGTGTCGATGCCGATGGCAGGAAAAAGAATGTTACCAAGCAGAGAATTGGTGGATCTAGTTAGAAGAGAAGGCAGGGGCTGGAGAGATGGCTCAGTGAGTACAAGCTTACTGTGCAAGCATGAAGACTAGAGTTTGGGTCAGAGCTCTCACATAAAGAAGAAAACCAGGAACAGTCGTGTACACTTGTAACCCAGCACAGTTGGAGCAACGGGGCTTCTTGGCTGCTTGCCCTGCTCCAGATTCAGTACCACACTCTGACTCAAGGAATACAAACGAAAGCGGTGGAGCAGGATTCTTGATTTCCTCATTTGGCCTCAGCACACACCCACCCACCCACATGCATATACCCTCTTCCAACACACATACATACACACACACACACACACACACACACACACACACACACACACACAGCAAGATGAAGATCAATCTAAGCGAATGTTTTTTTTGGGGGGGGGCTGCATATCGCATGATGAATCTGAAGCCTGCCCAGTGTCCATCTCAATTCAGATCCATCAGTGCTATCACAGGAGAGCCACTGAGATTTCCAGTCTGCCTCCAGGCTACTTGAGGCTTTCAGGGACAAAGCTCAGTAGCTTCTGTTTTTGCTGCTCCTCTGTTCACATTGACCCACCTGGAAACTCCTGGTGTTTCCTAATGTCAAGATTCCCATCAAACATCCAGAAAACTACCTGCAGCTTGAGATGGTTTATCTGTTACAATGAGTCACTCGGGAAGCCCTATTCTCTAGCACATGGTGTTGTCATGTTTTCTCATACTCAAAAACAGAAGTTTGGAGGGCTCTGTTTTATTCATCTCATGTACTGCACCTCAGGAACGTGGGGCATGGCTTGAGTTGCATTTGAACAGCCAGGATTCCAGCTGCTGATGTGGTAAAAGAGAATTTATAGGAGCACTGAGTAATGGCGTTCCGCTGTGCAGAGAGACAGCAGTGATGTGCCAGACCCTCCATAGAGTGAGGAAGAGAAAGCTTGCCATAACCTCCATGTCAGTTTTCAGCTTCTCAGACTCCTTCTGGATGTGTCACATGCTCTACACTTTGGGTGGTGTCTTCAATTCCAAAATGAGGGTGACACTGTTCAACCCACTTGCTTCTGGCATGCACGGCTGGTGGCTTCTATCTTTGGGAAGGTGTACTTCCTGGTGACATTTTGGGGAATGAGGACCTTATCAGACAGGCAGTCATGCCCAAGTGGTAATGGACACATGGAGGAATTAGGGGTGGGTTCTGACTTGAGGGTCAGAGTCACCCACAATCCTTAAGGATGATTAGATCACCATATGGCTAATTGTAGGCCAGGTCTTCTGGGCTGAACAGCCAGCCTGTGGAAGCACTGCATGTAGACATGCAAGCCATTCGGAACATACAGTTAGAACATAGCATGGGCTCTGAGTGGCTGTTGGATGTCTTGTGGTGGCCATTGTGATGGAAGAGGAAGGAACGGGGATATGGTAGACATAGCCAACCAATGGCTTGTGATTGATTTCCTATGGTGAAAAGGTATGTGTGAGGCATGGGAATGGACAAAGGGAAGGTTAAGAAGGGGCAAATCACCTTTGGGGGCCTCTGGACTACTAAGAGTTGCTTTGAACTGTACATGCACTAGGAGAAATGAGAAGGTGGTTTTGCCCTGAGAAGCAAGCTTTTCTTTGAACTGGTTTCAGGGACCCTCAGGAGGAGGTGGCATGTGGGTGGCTGCGTACGTGATGTTTGATTTCTGACTCATCCCTAAGACTCCTTTGCCTCCCAAAATATCTCCTCCGTGGCAGCTGTAGATGCTGCTCACTCCATTACTGCAAGGAGTGCAGGTGCCTTTTGCAGAGAGATATTCCCTTAACCTGTCAGCTGACCCCTATGAGGGCCATTTCCACTCTTGTGGAATGGCTGTGCTGATGTGAACTTTATTAATCGATAAGAAGCCATCATATCTGTTGCAATTCTGCAGCTGGGAAGGCTGATTATTCATTTTGTTGTATTTTATTTTGTGGCACTGGGAATAAAAGTCAGGGCTCCACAACACACAAGCTAGGCAAGCCTTCTGCCATTGAGCTAAATACCCAGCCTTGCTTTATTTTTCTGAGAAGGCAACAAGTCCTACTTCTGCCCTGCTCTTTGCACAGCCTCATTTGGGGCCTGCTTGGACAGGACCCTGGAGTTGGTAGGAAACATAGGTCAGTGTTTATTTTAGTGATTTCTTCCTTATCCATAGGCTACAACTTAAGTTAGCTTGGGTTGTGCCCCCACACAGCACTTTAGGGACCCAGGTTTGTCTGTAGATCCACCATCCCCCCAGGGTATAGCTTCAAGAGATCACACAGACTTACCTGAAGACAGGGCAGGAAACAGACAAAGCATATCTACAGGGACTCAGGTAGATGGACAAAGCCTGAGAAATACAGCTTAGTGATGAACCCTTGAAGGGAAAGTGACCCAGGGTGACTCCTTACACAGGCATGGGGGAGAAGCATTTGTTTCTTTTCCTTTGGCTCTCATAACTTGACATGGGGGCGGTGGCTTTGGGAGGATAGAGGGTGAGAGAGTGGTGGAGACATAGAAACTGCCCAGTGGTTGGAAAAGAGGAACACTGCATTCCCCATGGTGAAGGGCAGCATCTTCCCTTGGGTTCTTACTAGGTAAAGTCTGACAGAGTCTTGACTCAAAGAAATGTCTCTGTGTTGTTTGCTTTCCAGTTTGTTTTTAAGGGGAAGTGGGAAAAGCTAATGGAAATTTTCAGTGCACATCTTTAGAATCATATCAGCATAGGAACCACATAGGGAGGGTTCCAAGTGCTGTGGCATCTGTAGTGTATTTTGAGTCTTCATAGAGGGTGCTGAGAGCTGGTAGGTTAGTGTTTGTGGAAGGCTGAGTGGCACTCTGGGTCACCCTCTCCTTGTTTATACAAGAGCACAAGCAGGTCATCAAAGTGTTCAAATGGACACACGTCTTCTACCCTGGTGTTCTTTACACTGTGCCTTAGTTCAGCTTTCTAGACTGACTGACTGAATTTGTGTGTATGTGTGTGTGTGTGTGTGTGTGAGAGAGAGAGAGACAGAGACAGAGAGACAGAGAGAGAGAGAAGGAGAGAGAGAGAGAGAGAGATACCCTGGTATTCTTTACATATCACTGTGTTTTAGTTCAGCTTCCTGGACTGACTGTGTGCATGTGTGAGTATGCGAGTGCATGTGTATGGGTGTGTGTATACATGTGTGTGCATGTGTATGGGTGTATACGTGTGTGTGCATGTATGGGTGTGTGTGTGTGTGTACGTATTCAGTGTCTGACTGTATATATCCCCAGCCTTACAGAAGTAAAGCCCTTCCCAACAGAACCTCAACTCTGTATTCCTCCAGCCCTTCCTTTCTTTATTTCTTTCTCTTACTTTAATTTATTCTTGTTTATTTACTTATTTGTGGTTTTTGAAGCAGAGTCTCACTATGTAACCTTGGCTGGCCTGGTACTCACTGTGTAGACCAGGATAGCCTCTAACTACAATCTCAGCTAGTGCTGAGATTAAAGGTGTGCACCTCATCCATTTCTTAATCCACTTTAATTTTAAACATGTCTTTTCCTAATTATTAAATTAATGATAATGACAGAGATTAGGTAAGTCTATACCCTTATGACCAAATAGATGAAAATAGAATAAAAAAAAAAAAACAGCCTGTGATTCCTGATTGCTTTCTAGTATGCACATATTTATTTTCTTATGTGCAATGCAGTGTTTATATAATTCATTGCCACATGAAATAAATATGATACAACTCAAACATTTCATATTGTATAATATGAAATATTATACAACCCTTGAAAGTTTTCTTAAAATAGCTAGTGGTACAGAAAGATGCATATATATTTGTTCTTATCTATAATAACTCTACTTGTTTTATTTTTTAATCAAAATGTAAAACACTAAATAGAAATATCTATTCTGTACACCTTGGAATATAATTCTAATTTTAAAGGGATGGAGAGATGGCTTAGCAGTTAAGAGTTGTAACTGCTCTTACAGAGGATGCAGGTCTGGTTCCCAGAGTGCACTTGAAGCAGTTTGCAATTGCCTCACAGGGCCCCCAAATTTCCCTTGGTCTCTATAGGCACCAGGCAAGTACCTGGTATACATATGTAGCTGCAGATAAAATAGTCATGTGCATAAAATGAAAATAAACAATATCTTTAAAAAAAGGATTCTGTTTCTTTTAAGGGTTGTATAATATTGCATGTCATAGAAGCATACATGATGCTTAAACTGATGGTAGTGGTGGGGTCCAGGGATGGAGCATTAGCTGTGTTCTTTCTCTCTGAAACTGTCCCTCCCCTTCCAGGGCATCAGCAGCCTGTTCAGTTCTCTGAAAGTTGTGCGGCTGCTCCGTCTTGGGCGAGTGGCCCGCAAGCTGGACCATTACATCGAATATGGAGCTGCGGTACTGGTCTTGTTGGTGTGCGTGTTTGGGCTGGCTGCCCATTGGATGGCCTGCATCTGGTACAGCATTGGGGACTACGAGATCTTTGATGAAGACACCAAGACGATCCGCAACAATAGCTGGCTCTACCAACTGGCAATGGACATTGGCACTCCATACCAGTTTAATGGGTCTGGCTCGGGGAAGTGGGAAGGCGGGCCAAGCAAGAATTCTGTCTACATCTCCTCACTATACTTCACCATGACCAGTCTCACCAGCGTGGGCTTTGGGAACATTGCCCCATCCACAGACATTGAGAAGATCTTCGCGGTGGCCATCATGATGATTGGCTGTGAGTATGACACTCAGGGTGGAGCCAGGGGACTTGCCCGGAGGCTGGGGCTGTTGCAGGCTGAAAATGAAGTAGGGATTGCTTCGCTAGTAGGATCAAGGAATGTGTGCTTAAGACGATCAGTGCTTTCTCCTGAAGACTAGGGTTATGGTATTCATGATCTTTATGTCAGCTCATGTTCATTGAGAAACAAATTTGGGAAGTGTCAAAGAGGAGTGGGACTGTAGCTCAGTTGGTGAAGTATTTGCCGAACATGTAGAAGTCCCTGGGTTCAATCCCCAGCACCATGTAAACTGGGTGTGGTAGAACATGTGGGTAACCTGAAAATTCAGAGAGTGGTGACAGGACAGTCAGGAGAGCAAGGTCATCTTTAGCTAGAGAGGAAGTGCTAGGCAGTCTGGGTTACACAAGACCCTGTTAGCAGAAAGAATGGGAGAGAGAACAGGAAAGGGTGGAGGGATGGGGAGAGGAAGGAGAGCAACTATTACTACTTTTTCGTGCCTTCACTAGTCTGCTTTTTCTTGTATACATGGTCATCTGGATACTTGATTGTTTTATTAAGTTTGGAAAAACTGTTTCACATACAGTTATGCTAAGAATATGGAGCTGTGGCAGGTTCTATGTCCAATTTAGTTTTAAAACAGTGACTATGGTGTTTCCATAGTTTCCAAGTGAACTGGTCACAGCACAGCCAAGCTGACCACCGTCTTCTCACATGGCTGTCTTGATTTTCTCTATTATTTTCTTAATGGGAATGCTGAGTTAACACTCATCAGACATCTAAAGTGTGTCTTGTGCTTTGTGTTGGCTTAAACACAGCTTAGATCTGCATAGTCCAACCTGATACGAGAAAAAAACAATGTCTGAGAGAAGAGTTTAGGTTGTCTTGTGTTCCTAGAGTTTCTTTCCTGCCAGGTCCCGCAGCCCCAAAATAGCATACAAATAAACATACAGATACTATATTAATTATTAAAGTGTTGGCTGATGGCTAGGGCTTCTTATTGGCTAGCTCTGACTTAATTATTAGCCCATTTCTATAAATCTATGTTTTTCCACGTGGTCTTGGCTTACTGAAGAATATCTGTTACTCCTTTTGTGGCTACATGGCATCTCTCCAAGGTCTCTCTCTGCCTACCTTTTCCAGAATTCTCCTCGTCTCCTACTTCTCCCATCTTTCTGTCTCTATTGGCCAAACAGTGTTTGATTCATCAACCAATAAGAGAAACATATGTACAGAAGGACACCTCCATCAGTCTCGGTCATCTTTATGTTGGCTATATGTTAGAGTGAGGATACTGCTGTAGTTCAGGGTTAAAAGAAATAATGTATTACAAGTACTTTCCTTTTTAGTGTTTCCTAGGGAAAGTTTCATTTCTCTAGGAGAGTTAGTCTGAGTCATTGCTTCCTTCCTCATGCTCCTCTTTCCTTGCCCTTCCTCACCCTGTTTTCTCTTGCAGTGAAGCCCAGAATGAGTTGGGACTCACTGTGTAGCCTAGACTAGCCTCAGACTCCTGCCAATCCTCTTGCCTCATCCTACCTGAGTGCTGGGATTGTAGACCTGAGTCACAATCATTCCCAACTAGATCAATATTTTCATGTCTGCCTTTTGGTGGAGGAGTCTCCATGCTTGATATATAAAGACACACACACACACACACACACACAGAGAGAGAGAGAGAGAGAGAGAGAAAGAGACAGAAACAGAGAGATTGAGAGAGATTACTGGGATAATGCTCCTGCACGGAATATACTCCCTAGTTCTTGAGACAGTGTCTTAAATCTGAGTCATTTTACCACTGACAAGTGTGTGGTTGTCTCTGTAGAAGAGTCTAGAAAGTGGCTTTGGCTGGCTGATGACATTGACCTCCCTTTATCCCAGGAAGTCCTAATGGGGCAGGAACCTGGCTGGCTGGAAGCATCAGTGAGCCTGGGTTTGTGCTCATGTTGCCATGATGTCCACTGTACTGTGTTGGTACTTCAGTGACAGAGGACATGGGACAGGCTACACTGCAGAAGCTTCCATTTGCAGCGGTCTGATCACACAGAGAACTCAACCTCCATAGTCCACAGCCAGTGCTTTCTCTTCTCAGATATGGTCCTTCAAGGTGACATTGATAAATGGATTGATGTCCTGTCCCCTGATCACCACCAGCTCCCTCCTTATGTCTGACACAGGCAGATTCCTGAGAGTTTTTACAGATTGTGTCTAAAGGGGTAATTGATTCTGAGAACTGGGTGCTGCTGGTTAGCTGTTGCGTTTGCTCTTTATTTTAAAATGGGATTTAATAGAGATGATTGCCTGGCCATGAGAAGCTGAGTGAAGGATCCGTGGGTGGCTAATTGCTTCAGTTTAATTAGAACTCGGGGTGCTTTCTCATGTCTCAGGCAAGGATTTAAGACTTTTTCTCTTCTAGAAGGGCTTCAGCCTCAACTGCACTTGTTTCTAGTCAGGGCTTGCAACTTACAAACAAAATGAAACTCCAGTGCTGGGGATTAATCTTAGCATCTTTCACATGCTAAGCATGCATCCCACCACAGAGCTGCTTCCCAGTCTGCTCCCAGAATTTTTATGAGCCTCGGAGTACAGAATAATCAGAGTGATATGCTGTGCATAGTGCCCAGCTTCCTTCTCTTCGGGGGAGATGAACGCCCCATTATAGCCATTACCGAGAAGTTGCTAAGAGTGGTCAGTTAGAAATGGCCACATTTCATGGTCTCAAAAGGTTTTTAGGGCATCCTTGCAGTTTGTCACCCAGAGGAGGAAAAAAAAAAAAGCCCTTGGGCATGCAATGAATAATTTCCAAATTATTTTCCCATGAGAGTATTATTTCCTAGTACCCAGGGGAAACCTCGGTCATTTCCATTATTTTTTTTATATTCCCACCTTCTTGGAGCCAGGCAATGCTCCCACTCCTTAGGATAATGGAAGAATAATACTCAGGCTGCTTCCTCTGTGTGGTGAAGCATGAGGACTGTTGGGCTAAGAGTTTCTGTTCAACTGTTTGCAGAGCTCTTGTAAGTGCCAGACACTGCTAAGCACACCCACCTGCTCCGTGACTTACTCTGTCTGTTATTGGATAAGGAAAAGGAGGCTCAGAGAAGTGTCATCAACTTGTCAAGAATATGGGGCTGGTGGGCAGGAGGGAGAGGGTCCAATGACCCCTCTCCTGTGATTGGTGATGGAGTCACACTTGGTGTAGGGGCCACCTGCTCACATACCCCATGTTCGATCACTGGCACTTGGCAAATTTCTCTGTGAACTTGAGCAGTCTCCCCATGCATGTTGTGGAAATTATACCCATTTGTTGTTTTAATTTAAGAACACAATTATGCTCTGGATTCAGGAGTGGGTGTTTAGGAAAGCAGTTACTTTTCAGCAACCTGTCACTTATGGTTACAGCTGTGGTATGTGTCAAACCCTTGTGTTAATGAGAAGGGTTTTACACCATGTGCAATGGTTGGTAATCAGCCTTGTAAACCCACATCTGGGAGAGCCTTGCTCCAAGATGGCTGCTGGTATGCACACATGTGTACACTTCTATCCCTTGTGAACAATTCCTGGGGCCAGACTTACACCAGGACTGAGATACCTGCAGAGGGTGCCTGGGCATATCCCCAAGAGCTCTGTGCTGTCTTCCTCTGGGGTTATCTGACAATTCCTAAAGTGAGGAATGAGACTCAGTTTCCCCCCTCTGTACTGAATGTTTCATGCCACGGGGATGGCATTTCTTGGCTCTTCTGGGGCGGTGTTAAGTTTGCTATAGACGATGTGTGCTTTCTGTTGTTTCTTCTGTCTGCTCTGAATGTCTCATTACAACTTACTTGTTCTCCAGAGAGTTCCAAGGAACAGGAAAATGAAGCATTTACATTACTTTTCTCCATTCTAATAGACTATCCCATTAGGAAAATGTGCTATCTTCAATGGTCTGGCTTTAGATGTAAGTTGTAGCCAGGCCTTGCTGTGGCCTCCCTGTTGGCACAATTCAGTGACAAGGCTTGGAGTTGGAGTCTTCACTGTGGCTGATCCATACCCTGGCATTTGAGGGATTCCCAAGGAAGGAAATGTATGTGGGAACAGTGAGTTACCTCAGCCTCAGGTTGGGGCCCAGCTGTACTTTGAGTGGTCCTCAGGAGGGCTTGATAGTGAAGAGACATTGTCATTTTCTGAATGTGTGCTTGTACTTTTCCGTTTCTCCTCATAATGTCACCGCTGTCACTCTGTCACTTTAAGTGGCACTCACCCTCCCTCTCTGGTAAGGACAGGGGATCCAGACAGCATACTCCAGCTCTAGACACCCCCCCCTGCCCTGTGCAGCTTCCTGTGTCTGTGAATCACATCTTTCTTCCCAGTCTGCCCCCAGCTCAGCACCTTTCAAACCCAGGCTGGCACCAGTGCTCAGAGGATTCTGTGAACACCCAGAGTCCTCCACAGTCCCTCCTCTCACCCTCCTGTCTCCTGTGGAACCCAGCCTTGCAGATGAATGCTTTCAAATGCTCCCTAAGGCTGTCACTCCTACACAACACTGGGCCCACTCTGAGTGGGCTTTATTTTTTTTTTTATGTCACCTTCTGGTTTTTCTAAAATGATACAGTCACAACTCTCAGAGGGAGGGGAGAGAAGACTCTGAGGCGATTTTAATACACTACTCTCAATAAATATTGACTCGTTCATTCTATGCTACCTACTGTGGAAGCTTATTAATTGTGGGTTACAGAATCTTCTATTGGGTAGAGACCCAAAATATGTTTCTAAAAAATTCAGGCTTAACCTGGCTACCTCACAGATATCAGAGAATAGCTTCTTGACTGTGTTCATGTGTCTCATGTGTCTCTTCTGTGTTGGGATCCTATGTGGCGCTTCCAGCTTCACCCATATTTTTGCTTCAGAAAATGGGAAGGAAGGGATGGTAAAGGCCAGTCACACACCTCTCTTTTGAGAATGAGGCTAGGGAGTTATCTATATTCATTTTTTTTTCATATCTCATTGACTGGGATTTGAT